AACATGTATTAACATCATTCAACCAAATTCCGTTCCATTTGTCTCCAGCACAGAACTAATATCAACTTACATCCGAGTGCGCAGGCAAGAACTTAACGATACAGAACCACGTAATTAACCCGGTGCATTTTGTTACCTAACGTTACAAATCAAATTTTGCTTTGTTTTCCGGCCAAATTTTTTTGGCCATGTAATTACGATGGAAATCTGACCGTGCTATGTGCGTGATGACGTCGGCAGTCGTAAGTGGTCTGACCAAGTGTGCAGTTTGCCATGTACTAAGATTAGATGTCTGCCGCCGGTGCGATCTTGCTTGTGACCGTTTTTTACCTTTGTTGTGAAATTTTTGCCAGCCCCATTTTGGCGCCCCTGTACCTTGGCGCCCGGGGGCATATGTACCCCACTGCCCCCCCCTAAGCTACGCCTCTGGTTCGTTAAGTGTAATAGTTTGAACTTGTTATTTAGACACAGTTATGTTGGACGAGAGCTCCCCTATAAGGACTCAGTTCAGTTCTGAATCTGATGACGTTACGCAGTCGACGAAAATCATCTGACGCAGTGTCCCATAGCAGTATTTCGACAGTGTTTCGATTAATCACTGTAATTAGCAAATTGATAGCAAGCAGCTCGGATGCATTGTCAGTGTCTAGCTTAATGTTCATTGTTAGTTAGAGTCTTCCGAGACGTTTCTGATGTTTAGTATTGGTTTTAGTATTCTCAATTTTGCAGTTAAAAATACCAATATGGATTGAAGTTAGAATCGGGGTTGAATGCGAGATGCCCGATTGTAATTAAAATATAATTTTTGACTGCAGGTTAGGGCTGTATTATAGTTATACTAAGTAAATAACAGCTGCTTTTATATTTTAGACATGCAAGTTACATTGAGTTCACTTTGGATTAAACTTAATTGGATAGTGTCACCTGGGGATCTAAAACATGTGGTATGTATCTAATCAGTCTCAAATAAAGTAAAGTATATATAATTTTATGCATTTAGTTATGTGCTGATATTTGTAAACTTATTCCTAAATGTTATCAAAACAAGAAGAACCGTGTTCGCTCGCGATGTAATCAAGTGTGGATGAATGAGTGAGTAAGCTCATTTCGGAGTATAATATAATTTCATAAAATGACGAGAAGATTACTGACTATACGGAAAATAAATCAAAAATAATTCTTATGTTGTGACTAGATTTCGGGACTACTTCAAATTGGAGAGTAATGCATTTGGAAAAATACCAATCTGAAAGCTACAGACATGAGTATTTTTAGTCAATAATTTGATTTTGAACAAAACATAACGTTCATATATGATTGCTTTTTAATGTGAATAAGAAGATTCTTTAAACAGGAATATTGTCGAAAATATCGTACGTCTCAAAAACTTACGTATGTCATTATTCTTCTCCAAATCTTTGTAGTCAGAATCTCCTCTTCCATCAATGAATTGAAACACCGTTATACAAATCTATATACATATTTAGACGAGCAGGAAATCGCCTGTATCAGTTTTTATCTGCAATCAAATTATAAGTCTTTAAAACAATGTTTATGTTCATTATGACGTCATATTGGATCGGCTTGGTAAACAAGGAATGGTACAGTAATGATGAAAATTTGAATACCAAAAAAGTACCAACGTATAGCACGTATACGCTTTTGACATTTTTCATAGCTGAGGGTGACTTGAGACATGCGTACATAAACTAAGTCGCTGAACCATTGGGTTGAAAGGAAATTGGCACAATGAATGTCAATAACAGCAATCGCGATTTAGTAAGTGATAGCCTATAATTAATGCTGATAATATAAAACGACCACAACACTGAGACGTTTCAATTGGAAATTTGCTCAAAGTCACGAAAACTCAAAGTGAAGCTACCGACGACTACTAATATACCAATAGATACTGACACTATGTATATATAGAGAATAATGGTAATGCGCGTTAGTAAATATCAACTGACGCAGTTCCTGTTGATTTGATTGAGAAATAACTATGAGGTATTGAATTCCAAATAGCTGAATCTCGTTGAAGAAAATCTCGAAGCATAGAATATTTTGTCTGGTATTTCACTGACTGTAAACGGGTGAGAATTCACAGTAAACCGAACTTGACGATAAAAATTGTTAGACTTCCCAATGCATAACGCGAATCTATGGTTGTGACAATTTCTGTTTACTTATTGTCACCATCCAGAATTAACACTGAAGATAAGAAGAATAAGCTTTCAGGTAAGTCGACTTGAGACAAGAGTTGTAGAAAAAAAAAATTTAGTTTAGAGTAAAGGTGTATGTCGTATATGCGATAATATCTAAAAATTTCTGGCAAGCAGGTTGAAACATTGGAAATACCGTACGAAGAAAATACAGGAAAATGCTAAATGACTACCGTGGATAACTTTTTCATTTCAACCTATTTGTCACCAATGAGATTATGTACCGGCGTTTCATTTACTGAATTATATCTGAGATATTACTAAACATTTACTGAGTAACTGAAGAACGGACCAACGCGCCAACAAATACTGAAAAATCACATAGCCAGTATTCATTAAGTTACCGTTAGGTCATTGACAGAAACAGACCGAATCTAACTTTCTTGCATTTGAGATGATTCATTTTTTTTTTCAATACTTAAGATAATTTGGCATTTGTTAAATATATATAAATATACAAAATCTTTGTAGTATAACATATAAAGTCGCAATAAACTAGAAGCAAACATTCCGTTTTGAATAGTCTAGCTAGGAGACTTGGTTGTTTTCTTTACAGAACCGTGTTCGTGTTCGAGGTACTATACTATATAACATTGCACATTAGGGAACAATTCACGACCAACTTAAAATCCCAGATATGATCAGTTAAATATTTATTGGAAATAAAATTTGCAATGGACTATATTTTTTCAAGATATTAGGAAACGAGCAAAATTAAAGCGTATACGTCTTTAACTTTTATTCTGAATATAAGCTTTTATATGCGTCGGAAGTGTAACTGAACAGCTAAAAGTACTGAAAGCTAAAAGTGATATTTTTAACAATTTACAAATTCAATTAATATTACTAAAACTTGTCCTTGATGACGGCAAACAAAAAATTCCAATGAACTATAAATCAAACAAGCCTATTTTTTTGATTGCGACATAATTGCTTTTCGTACAGTAGCGTGTTAGAGTTGATACTACTATACAATATTATTAAGTTTGGAAGCTTTAACGACTCGAATAGTATTTTATGTTTGCAATAGTTTTGTTCGACCGCTTTTGTTCGACCGCCTGAAATAATTACCAAACTCACATTTCACCGGAATTATCCTAATAACCATAGTCCATAGTATATTATACTTTGGGTTCCTCCGCAGGTAATCCAGAGTGGATAAATAAGTGAGTGAGCTCAAGTTGGGGTGAAATAATTTTATTAAATGACGATAATATTTCCGAATATACGAAAATTAAAATCGAATCAATTTCTCGTGTTGTGACGAGATTTCGGGACCACTTCAAACTTGCGAAATACAGCATTTTGAAAAATATCAGAATCTACAAGTTATAAAGTGATTTTATTCAATAATTTGATTTTGAGCAAAAAATTACGTTGATATGTGAATCAGAAGGTTTCTCAACAGCGTTATATCCGAAAAAAATATTACATCTCAAAAACTTAAAATTTTTTCTAAATCTTTGTAGTCAGAATCTCCTCTTCTATCAATGAATTGAAACACCTTTATACGATTTTACACTCTACATTGGTCAGCAAACGGCAAGTATTCGTCTGTATCGGTTTCTTTCAACATTCAAATTATTACTCCATAAATAATGTTTCTATTCATTTTGACGTCATACTGAACCGATGGCCGCCTGGTGAACAAAGAAGGATAAAATGATTACAAAAGTTTAAATATCAAAAAGTACAGACGTTTAGGACCTTTGAAATGTCAATGACAGCGAACGCGATTCAGCAAGTGATATAACTGATTCTAACAATATAACACGACCATACAACTGACTCGATTTTGTAGGAAAAATTGCTCAAAGCAAAGTCACGCGAAATTACTCAAAAGATCTTTGATCTCAATTTTGTTTACTTCATTAGCGTTTCAATAGTTACAAAATAGCCTAAATGCAACAGCAAACTCACAATTCACTGAAATATTCTTGTTATCTTTTTCTCTTCTCTGAAACTGGTTTGACTTCTCCTCTTTTCTAAAAGAATTTGTGTTTATTTTTCAAATGCTTCTCAGCTTAATAAAATTCTGTCTTTTGCGCGTATCGCTGACTCCCTGGAATAAAAATAAAGCATGGGGAACCTATTTCTAACATTTCAATGTGGACAAAGAAAACATAAAAGGCTTTTAAGCTAAAGCGCACTCGTGTTTCCTGAATGTATGTAAGATTAAAGATTCTCACGCTCGATAAATACCTGCAACAAGACCGAATACCTCATAATAATTAATTAAAAAAAATATCTTGACTGAAACTTTTTCGATGTTAAACAATTTATGTAGGAATCCTATTATACAGATCTTTCAAAAATGATTGTAATATTAGAGAAATTCTACCTCGCGCAGTTTCGACTACCACAGACTTAAATGTTATGAAAGAATTAAACCGATTTAAAGTTGGATTCAATTGCGACAAATCTTTGAGGCACAGAAAGCGAGATTGGCACTTTATCGCTGTGAGTCGAGTTGCTTGAAAGCGGGGCACGTTGACAATGGTCTCCATTCACGTAAGCCAGGAAAGTAGAAGATTAACTCATTCTTAAATGTTATCAAAACAAGAAGAACCGTGTTCGCTCGCGATGTAATCAAGTGTGGATGAATGAGTGAGTGAGCTCAACTCGGAGTATAATTTCATAAAATGACGAGAAGATTACTGACTATACCGAAAATAAAATTAAAAATAATTCTTATATTGTGACTAGATTTCGTGACTACTTCACGTGCAAGAAGAATGATTTATCTCGTGCAGACAGGACCAATCTGATGAGATGAGTCGCGCTTTTTAACGTACTTCGTACGTTAAGCTTGCGTCAAGTAACTCCTCATTTGGAGAGACGCTTTGTGCCTTTATTTTAGTAAAAACACTTCTCTATTTTAAAGCGTTGGTCTTGTGACAGCAGTGACAAACCGCAGAGCTGACTTAGCTCCATGGAATCTAGATTTTTCAGCTGGTTCCGGAGTCCCAACTTGGACGGACTTGTTTGTTCTTTGACGATAGCGCCAGGCCTGCTACAAGTAATCAGATTAGTCAAATATATATGTTTTCTAAATTGGATTCATTCAGCAAGTAAGGGTGATATGTTGTATTATTCTTTTTCTCGATGTTTGTTTCTAACGTCATCTGCTTTTTAACTCGGCAAACAAGGTGTCGCTGATACCTAAGGATGCCAAGTATGAGTACTTACAAGTATTCGATTCTTATCCGATTCCTAAATTTTCGATTCCGATTCTCGATTCCGAATCTCGATTCCTCGACATATTACCGAAGAAATATACCCACCCAAGCAATACCATATGAAATCAAGCAAGACAGCGATGTTCAAATTCTGGACGGACAAGAAGGCCGAAACTAAGTAGTATGGGTATTCAATCTGCCACATGGGACAAAACCGCACAAAAAAAAAACGAATCCCTCAGAACCCACAGAGATTTTTAAAATAAATAAACGTTAAAGCCTACTAGCGATATTTATAATATATATATTATATATAGTGAAGTTTGCGGTGTCGTAGCAACTCAACATAGCAGTGAAGCAGTTTATACATATATATATGTGAAGAAATTGCCACAAAACGTTACACATTGTTTGCAATCCAAGTTTCAAACTCGAGAATCGATTCCGGTGCATCGGAATCGATTCTTGTCGATTCCGCGAAGAATCGATTCTGTAATCGAATCCGGACTCGATTCCGCCATCCCTACTGATACCACGACTTCAGTCGTCCTTCGCAGCCCCTCGTCAACTGCGAAAATATTGTTTATTTAAATTAAACGTTTATTATTGTATTTGTTTTGTGTCGTTACAATATTTCATGCTGGAAAAATAAAATATCTGAATTTTCAAAGCCTATTGCATGTACCTGATGGTCAGTACCAGTACGTTCATGACATAAAACACCAATGCTTGATCCCCTTACAGTGAGATCTTCCTATGCATTAGCATTTCTGTCTTACATTACATTATTATTTCAATCTTTCTGAAACATAGGCAACGAGGAACTACGGTTAAATGCCAAAACACATATTAACACACGTACTCGCAAATGCGCGATGAAGGCGAGTCCGTTTCCGAACTGCGGTGGATTTTTGGTGAAGTGGTTTTCAAAAACAGAAGTATAGAAAACTAAGTCGACTTTATGTGAATAGTAAGCGTCAAATCAATCACTTTTTTATATCGACATGTTATATTTTTACACGTTCAAAGGTTAGATTGATATCTTATATATTTGTATTTATTTTGTATATGTAATTATTTTCCCCTGCGCTGGAAAGGCCAGGGTTACTGGAGAATGCACCATGGATAATTTTAATGAAAATACATAAAATCAAAACACGCACCAATTTGTCTCATTTTCCAGACCGTTTACCGGAATCCCAAATACAAAAATAGCAACAACAAAATATAGTTACCAATAAAACCGCCATCCTGCATCTTCTCCATCTTTACAATCACCCCTTCAACAGAACAACAGTTGGGTTCCCCAACAGAATTCGTTTACTTTTACATTACTTTTTATTATTAAATAATTATTACATTTGTTTTGAGTATTTTGAACAGTGATAGTGAAGTTCGCACAAACATATATATAGCAAAAAAGTGTTAATAGAAGTTGCTAATATACACCTCATCACCTAATAAAAACATCATAATCACTTTTGAGCATATGCATTATTTGTGCTAATTCATTATCCGGTTAACCCCCACAATAACGTTCAAATATTCAGATAGCAAACCTCTCGTTTAAAAGGTTGTCTGAATAATCCAATCCTAGTTATATCTATGGGCCATTCCAAGCAAAAGTTAAATGCAATTTTTTAAAAAGTGTAGTGAAAGTAATTTTTTTTTTTTTTTGATATCAAAAGACATTGGAATTTTATTGGACTGAATTCATTACATCAGACAATTTGAAATTTCACCAAGGTTTTTGATGGTTTATAAAAATTGTCTGAAAAGTAGAAATTTTGGTGTAATTGACATATTTTGTGATGATTCCTGACACAAAGTGTTTGATTTTGGGGTACAGTTATTTCATATGAAATTGACGCACTGGATTTAAGTGGTTAAAGTTTGAATGTTTGCAGTGCTGTAGGACATTTCTCCATCCATTTAACGATCTATTACCAGAATTTTAATCAATCAATCGTTTATTTTGTCATCACAAAAAAACACGTTCAAACATAAAGTGACATAATGAATAAATTACAGTACTAATCATGTTTTTGCGTGACCGGAGTCGCGAGGGACCTAAGAAGGTCTTCAAGCAGCGACACCTACAGCGCTACAGGTTACAATAAATATAATTAAATGAGGGATAAAATGAATAAATCCTAGGAATAAGTCACAACTGATACAATTACAGCGACATTCGAAATGTATGCGATTATGACACAGTAAAACAGAAAATGTAACTTTCACGGAATAATTACTAACAACTAATAAAAACGCGAGGAAAGCAAGATAAAAGCACAGAAAAAATATAGGAAGGGCAAGTTTGGCGGAATATGCAACTAAAAGCAATATAAGGCAAACAGTAAATCGAAAATATTTACAGCAAATGCAATTTAGGAGACACTTACGAAAAATTGATAAGGTCTAACAATGAGCATATATGCTCATTGGGTCTAATGAGGAATACAAACAAACTATTACATCTATATAATGTACATAATAAAGAGGAAAAGATAAAACGGCCTGGTCATTGAAAATAATAGCGAACGTAGGTTAAGGGCAATAAGCTATCGCTCTCCACTCTGAACGATTTTTGAATCAACTATTAATGTAGCAGATACTCTCGGATTCCGACTCCTTGCACCTATTTTCGTTCGGGTTGATTGACGTTAGCCAGTGTAGGCCAGATCGTTACGGTAATAAAAAGTAAGCGATCTTAGTAGAAATTTCAATGGTTACCCGTACTGGTATAAGAGGAGAGATAATCACCGATATATTTATTTTTTAGGTCTCTTTTAAAAGTGCAATATGCTAGGGATCTAATGGTATTAGGTAAAGCGTTCCACAGTTTCACACCTATATATTTAATGGATTTCTGTGTTCTGCTCGAGGAGTACCTTGGGACATGGAATGAACCTGATGAAGCCGATCTGGTAGAGTAGGAATGGATATTACTCTGCTTCGTAAAAAATTCGGTGAATGCCATGGGAAGTTTGTCATCAAAGTACTGGTGCATGAGTTTCAATACCTCAAATTCATGAATATGACCAAGTTTAATTATTCCACATCTGTGGTATAAAGGATCTAGTCTAGACCGAAATGGTGCGTTACATATGGATCGAACTGCTTTGTTTTGTAAAACCTCCAATCTTCGAAGGAGAGTAGTCGATGCGTTACCCCATGATATGATACCATACTGTAGATATGACTGGAAAAGAGAAAAATAGACCATTCGAAGGACTGGCATGGTAAGAAATTTTCTAAGTTTGTATAACATACCAGTTGCACTTGCCAGCTTTCCAGCAACATAGTTAATATGGGTGGCCCATTTCATTTGATCATCAATGTGGATGCCAAGGTATTTAAATGAGTTCACATTTTCGAGTAGAGATCCATTAATGCTAATCTCAAGTCGAATTTTATTTTTACGATTATTTTTGTGGCTAATCAATAGGCATTTAGATTTTTCGACATTAATCGTGAGTTTATTGTTAGTCATCCAAGTTGAAATTTTATCCATTTCAGAGTTCATACCCAATTCCAAATCACTTGGAGAAGCTGAACTTCCAAACAATCCGGTATCATCAGCAAAGAGTTTGACAAGCAAGTTAGTGGCGTGCGGAAGATCATTGACGAAAAGGAGGAACATTAATGGGCCAATTATCGAACCCTGTGGAATTCCACATTGTACAGTTGCAAGCTCGGAGCAACTTGATCCGATTTTTACACACTGCTGGCGATAACTCAGATAGCTCTGGAAAAATTTTGACGCGTGGCCGCGAAAACCATAATGGTTCATTTTTCTAATTAGTATGCTATGGTCAACGGTATCGAATGCCTTTTTGAGGTCAAGAAAAATAGCACTGATAAATTCCCTACTCTCTAACTTATCATAGAAATAAGAAATCATATCGAGAATTGCATGATTAGTGGAGTGTTGTTTTTGGAACCCAAACTGGGATTTGTTTATAATGCCATGTCTTTCTATGAATTCGGTTAGTCTAGCATGTAAAAGCCTTTCAAATACTAAAGTCAATGGGGATAGAACTGATATTGGACGATAATTTGATGTACATTCTTTATCCCCAGATTTATATACCGGTGAAACTTTGGCAGTTTTCAAACTATGAGGGAAAATTCCAAAGTCTATAGAGGCATTAAATAATTTACATAGCAATGGGGAAACTATGTCAACAGCATATTTTAGAAATTTCGCTGGAATATTATCATAACCAACCGATTTACCATCAGGTAAACTTGCTATTGTGTAATATACTTCATTGACGGTTATTGGTCTCAGAAAAAAAGACTCTTTTATTGGATTCTTAAGGTTGCTCAAAAAAGATCCAGTGTGAGGGATTTTTTCAGAAAGCTTAGGGCCTATAGAGATAAAATAATCATTAAAATAGTTGGCAATAAGATCTGGATTGCTTACTTTCTGCCCAGTTTCTGTTTTTAGTGCTTTAATTGTAGTTGTTGATGTTGTGTCTTTTTTTATATTGACCAGTCGCCCAATTAGGTTCCACGTTGATTTAACGTCGCCACTGACTTGTTTAAATTTATTAAAGTAATACAATTTCTTTGCTTTAGCTATCAAGACTCTAAGTAAATTGCTGTAAGTTTTGTATAATCTATATTTTGTGTCGCTACCATTTTTAAAATATTTTTTATGCATTTTCTGTTTCGTCTTAATTGATACGCGGATGCCTTTAGTCAACCAAGGTTTAGCTAGAAGTCTATTCTCTCGCCGACTCAGTGGTTTCATTGGTGCATTGGCATCAATGGTTGATTTAAATATCTGAATGAATGAATCGAATAAAATATTTAAATTATCAGATGTAATTTGGCGGTGCAAAGAACATTTTAGGTCAGATCTATAGCTATCAATAGAGAAATGTCTCATATCTCGCCTTAGTAATCTGTTTTTATTTATCTTACTAACGGGAGCAGAGATTGTACATAATTGTGCATAATGATCACTAATATCACTTAGGATGACAAAGCTTGACAAATCATGGTTAATGGAATTTGTAAAAATATTATCTATCAATGTACTGGATGTACGAGTTACTCGTGTTGGTTTAGTAATTAGGGGCAGTGATAAATTGGCAAGGTGTATATCAATATACCTCAGAGTGGCCAGATCTGTTGAATGACTCAAATCAATGTTCCAGTCACCCAGTAGGATAAATAATTTTTGTCCCTATTCAACTTTTCTAATGCATTGGAAATAGTTTCGGTAAATTTGATGATATCTTTTCTGGGTGTTTATAGATTACTCCAATTATGAAAGAGATGTTGGAATTTAGTTTTAAGTTGATCCATAAATCTTCACAGTCTGGATGTTCTAGATCGTATTCATGAATCTCACAAAAACCAAGGTCTCGAGTAATATATAGGCCAACTCCCCCAGCAATTGTTTTGGAAGGTTTGTGAATGAATTCATAATTATAAATGGAAATATTTGAGGTGGGAGTCGCACCAAGCCTCGTTTCTGAAATGGCAATGAGATGTGGGGGTATAACTAATTCAGATAATAGATTGACAAGCTCATCATGATTTTTTTGGAGAGATCTAATATTTAGGTGAAAAGCAATAAAACAATTTCTTGGCATGGACCTACTGGTAGAATTCAAATCGGATACTTGTATATTTGCGCATTCACATCTACTTATTTCGCCTTAGAAAATTTGGAATTCTGGTCAAGTGCACTATGAACCTTATGGTTAGATCGAGGGGGGAGAGATTCCATTCAAACACGAATAACAAAAATAAGGCTGAGATCGTGGTGCGCGAGGGGATGCGGAGGCGAGAGCACATTCAGAGTGGAATAGTTTGGCACATATTTCACAGTTTGTTTTAGTTTGATCAGATAATAATAGTTTGCTACATAATGACATGTTATATCAGTATTAGTCAACATAGAATAATGGCACTCACATAACAGTTATTTGATTTTTGACAGATCTTCATCACATCAATATTTAGTGAGTTTTTGACATCGCTGTTTCTTTTTCACGAATACCTTTTCCATTTGAGGTCCATATAAATTTGTATCCGCAGTTATTTTTTGCAGCTCTAGCTCTGAAGTACAGATCTTTATTCAGAGCCGTTAGATTTTCTGCAATAAATATTTTTGAAGGATGTTTAAACACTGCGCTTGATTTTATTGATCGCAGGGACTTTCTTTTTTCAAAGATCTTCATTTTGTTTTTGCGGTGGACGAATTTTGCAATTATGGCAGGAGTTCTAGTATGTTGGGCTCCTGTTGGCATTCTGTGTGAAACAGAGA